ACCATGGGGAGGGCCACGGGTGGGCTGTGGGGTGATGTTCCTGTGGTGTTCTTGGGGTGCCCTTTAGAGCACTCCTGGGGTGGCCTCTGGGATGTTCCTAGAAGTGGTCCATGGGGTGGGCTCTGGAGTGGTCCCCTATGTTCCTGGAGATGGACCCTGAGGATGGTCTTTGGGGTGATTCCTCAGATGTTCCTGAAGGTGCACCATGGGGTGGTTCCCGGAGATGAACCCTGGGGTGGTCCTTCAGAATGTTCCTGGAGATGGACCCTGGCAGGGTGGGTGGTCCCAGGATGGTGATCCCTGGGTGGGTGCCTAGGAAGGTGGGGGACGGAGAAAGGAGGTGAGGGAAGAGGGAAGGAAGGAGGGGGTGAAAAGAAGGGAGAGGGAGGGATTTCCCAGGGAGGGGGAGCAGCTCAGAGCTGTTGGGGCACGGGGTGCCTCTGGGCTGAGCTGCATCAGCACAGGACTAACCCTTCCCACGGGACTGACCATTCCCACCTCCTCACTCTTGGAGCAGTCCAGGAAGAGCCCCCTTTACAGAATGAAGTCGGGCAACAGGATCGCCACAGTCATGATCTATGTGAGTCCTCCCTCATTGCCACACCTGGAGGCACGGCCCTGACAGTCACAGTAGGGTTCAGAGTGAATGGGGTGCAAGATGGGCAAGGGCAGCCCTCCAATGCTGCAGTGGGGGGTTAAACGCCAAAGTTTGGGGAGTATTTTGGAGCCTGTGCTGTGAGAAAGCGAGGGAAATGCAGTTGGGGACCGAGGGAGGAGTCGTGCCTCAGTTTCCCTGTGCACAGCAGCCAGATCTTGGGAAGAGGGACAACCATGGCTCCTGTTTTTGCTCCTTTTCCAGCTGAGTGCAGTGGAGGCTGGTGGCTCCACGGCCTTCATCTACGCCAACTTCAGCGTGCCTGTGGTCAAGGTGAGGGGGACCCACTGAACCCCCAGGAGCAGGGAAGGGGGGATGCTGCTCCCTGCATGTCAGCTCTTGCAGGGAATTGTGCTCAAGCCTGTTCTGATGCCAAACCCCAATCCTGGGGCTCCTAACCCTGTTTTGGGGTGACAAACCTAAACCCCAGATCTCCTTGTTTTGGGATGCCAAAATCCTTTCTCTGGGATCCCAGCTTTGTTTTGGGCTGACAAACCCTAACCCTGGATCTCCCAGCACTGTTTTGGGATGTCAAAATCCAGTTTCAGAGATGCCAGCACTGTTTTGGGGTGCCAAATCCCAACCCCAATGATCCCAGCCCTGTTTTGGGGTGCCAAAATCCAAAGGGTATTTGCAGGCTCCCTTTGCAGGGTGTCAAACCCTGATCCCACAGCTCCCAGCTCTGTTTTGGGGTGACAAACCTCAGTGCCAGGGCTCCCTGATCTATTTTGGGGTGCCAAACCCCCATCTCAGGGATCCCAGCCCTGTTCTGAGGTGCCAAACATCAGCCCTGGGCTCTGGCTCCTTTTGAGGGGTGCCAAATCCTGCAGTTCCCAGCTCTGCTTTGGGGTGCCAAACCCTAACCCTAGAGCTCTCACCTATGTTTTGGGATGCCAAAATATCCAGTCTCAGGGATCCCAGCTCTGCTTTAGGGTGCCAAAATCCAGTCTCTGCTCCTCAGAATGCCGCTCTTTTCTGGTGGAACCTGCGGAGGAACGGGAACGGTGATGGTGACACTCTCCACGCCGGCTGCCCTGTCCTGGCTGGGGACAAGTGGGGTGAGAGACACTGCTGGTTGTCACCCTGGGGTGACACAGGGTTGGATGGGCGGGGAACACACAAAAATCCTGGATAACAGGGAAAAAGGTCCCCAATATCAGCACAGGGACAGACCAGGATCTGTGTCCTTGTCCCTTCCAGTGGCGAATAAGTGGATCCACGAGCATGGGCAGGAGTTTCGACGCCCATGTAGTGCCAACCCATGGGACTGAGCCATCGTGGGATCGTGGATGTGGCAAAGCCATCCCAGCACAGCATGTTCCCAAGGCTGGAGTGAAACAGGGAGGGAGGAAGGGAGGGAAGTGGGTAGAAGCATACTGGGGGGTGATCTGGGGATGGGGGGGTGTCACTTGCTCAGCCACGAACAAATCGTGTGGAAATAAAGTGAAAGGGCACTAAGCTGGAGTCTCTTTTGGGGTGACAAACCTAATCCTGGGGCTCCCAGAGCTGTTTTGGGATGTCAAAATCCAGTCTCAGGGATCCCAACTCTGTTCTGGGGTGTCAAAACCTCACTTTCAGAGCTCCCATCTGTGCTTTGAGGTGACAAAATCTGGTCTCGGGGATCCCACTCTGTTTTGGGGTGCCAAAATCTTGATCCGTGTGCTCCCATTCATGTTTTAGGATGCCAAAATCCAGTCTCAGGGAGATGGCAGCTCCTTCCAGACCCCCTGGCTCCCTGCCTGCCCGCAGACACATTCCCTTTCTGCTGCAACCGCAGCTCCTCAGTGACTGGAAGTCCAAGAGGAGGGAGCCGGGATCTCCAGCAGCGCCTGGAGATCGGGCAGGAGCCCCCAGCTGACCCCCCTAGGCACTTCCCAGGGGAAACAACCCGGATGAAGTGAGGGTCTAGCTGGAGGACACCATTGGCACAGAAACTCTGTGTCCATCCAGCCTCATCTAAGAACATTAGGATGAAATTCAAATCCTCTGGGATCCCCCCATCTCCCCACGGGGGCCGAGGCAACCATGTCACCTCTCAGGCTCTTTCCTAACTGGAAGAAAAAAAGGATAAAAATAATGAAGGGGGATGGAAACAGCAGGCAGACCTCTCCCAAAGGCTCTCCTGCTCACTTTCAGCTAAAAAAATATGCATTTATCACTCCTTGGCTGTTATCCAGCCCTGGATTAACCCTTCCATAGGCATGCACAAGCGGAGGGGAGCTGCGAGCAGCATTCAGGCAGGACAACAAGAGCTGGAGCAGTGGGAAGAGGCTCCAGGAGCCCTTTGGGGGTCTGTTAAACCTGCCTCAATGTGAAAACAGCCTGGAAGATTTCCAATTTCCCCAAATTCCTGCTTTCTTAAACAGAACAACCATGCCAGGACTCAGAGATGGTTGGACAGAGCACAGGTTACTCAGCAGCCCGAGGGCCGTGGTTTATTACTTCCAGATGTTTCTGTACATGTGGGAGTTGGTCATGGAAAAGAGTGGGAAAAGCAAAGGTTGGTGCTAAATTCCCCACTTTCCCCCACATTAGAGTGCACAGAAGGGATGGAGGAGCATTTTGGATGACAAGAGGCTTCCATGAGTCACCAGAAAAACCCAAGGCTTGGGGATGGCACAGGAACAGCTGAATCAACACCCTTCCTCCACTGGCTTCTCCGAGGAGCCCAAGTACCACAGCTGAAGGGAAAGCAGGAATTCCTACTCCAGGCTTTTCACAAATGCTTTATTTGTAGGCGAGGGAAACGGACACGGAACAAGACAGGAACAGGATGCGGCGGACACGGGACATGGCGCGTGGTCTCTGGAGAACTCACACACACACACACACACACACACACACACACACACACACATTTTCCATCTGGGAATAGCAGCACGTGGTAAAAGGTCACCCTGTCAGACTGGGAATGCTCGGCCACAACCGACCAAGCATCCGACAGCAAAGCCTGGATCAAACACCTATCCCTATCCTGCTGTTCTGGGATGCCTTACAGACACGGTGCCATCAGACGGGTCACTACGGATGACACAACCAAGGGATGCAGGATTGGGCAACACAAAGGGCACTTCCAGGCTGTGAGATGGGTAGTAGATGCACCAGGGCCAGGATTTCTTAGAAGGGACAATCCAAAAACTCTATTTTTTTACCTCAGCTGAAGATCCAGGTCTAGATTTCCAAGAGCACGGAACACCAGTTCAAACCAGTGAATCACTGGTTGCCAGGCTCTTTTCCCAGGCCTTTCTGCTCCCAAGAGTAAAGGGAATAGTGGAGGGGAGGATAAATGTCAGTGCCAAAGTTACAGAATCAGAGTAGTTTGGGTTGGGAGGAACCATAAAGCTCATCCAGTTCCAACTCTCTCCCACCAGACCACATTGCTCCAAGCGTCATCCAACCTGGCCTTGAACACTTCCAGGGATGGGGAATCCACAACCTCTCTGGAAAACCAGAGCAAGGCCTCAACTGTAAATGAACTTCTTCCTAATATCTAATCCACCCTCCTGGGGGAGGATTTTTAAAGGTTTGTGTTGCCCTGCAATGCACGGCTCTGGCTAGAACAGGCTTCCTCAGGTTTTCCTGGCCTCTCTGTGGCCAAAAAAGGGAAAAATAACAACTTTGCTCATAAATGCATTACCTCTGCAAATGCCCTGTCACAGGCATATGGGAGAATTCCATGTGGAAAACCCCAGGCCTGAGTTTTCATTCCTCATTCAAGGGTTGGTTCATTCAAAGCAAGACCACATGCTTTAGTAATAAAGGAAATAATCATTTTCCAACAATCCCAGTGCTTCATCCAGTCACTGATGGCTTTTTCTAGTGTTTATAATCTGGCAAAACCCATCCTAAGCCTCATTTTTTCATTTATTTATTTAACTTATTAAATTAAAGCAAAGCCTGTGACAAACCAGCCTCCCAAACTCCATGACATGCTCCTGCCACACCTTGGGATCTTCCACAGGGAAAGTTTCCACTTATCTTCAATCCAACAACTGCAACAAAAGCAAGTGTGATTTCTAAATAATCCAAAGGCTGCAGGAAAAACGCAGTGAAAAGCTGGGAGTTTGGGGACAGTTCACTCTGTGCCCGTTTTTCATGAGCTGAACAGAATATTCCTTCTCTCTGCAGTCCCTTTTCTCACAGCCTGTGCTATCCCCCTACCTAAATCCCATTTAGCCCAGCCTGGAGCTCCCTGGAAACTGCAGCAGGAGCATTAATACTTTTCAGACAAAAGTACAGTCTCAAGAATGTACATAGCTCGACAGAACCGAAAGGAATTTCCCCTCCACCCACTCCCACACTGCTGCTGTCTCCGAAATCCCTTTTTTCTTTTATTTTTTTTTTCAAATCCAGCACCAGTTCCTGAACTATTCCCACCTAATTCCAGGCAAGGCAGGGCTGGGAGCTCAGCACAGAGCGACGCACCATTAAATAGGCTGTTGAAACATTTATTTTCTTTTCACTCACCTCTCCAATGTTAAACAACAAACCAGAATCCTACGGTCCCACAGGCCGCAAAGGCCCCACAGGCCTCACGTGCCCCATAGGGCCATACAGGCCCCCTAGACTACACAAACCCCACAGACTTCAAAGGCCTCACCAGCCCTGTGGGCCACACAGGCCCCACAGGCTTCAAAGGCCTCACAGGCCCTACAGGCCAAATGGGCCCCATAGGCCTCATCAACAGGATTCCAAAAGTCATCCTTTTTCCAGTGGTGCTTGTAGAGAATCCAGCATGGATTTGCTTTCCACAGAGTGTTCGGTGTGGTTGGGATTTATTTTTCAGATCTCATAAACGAAGGAGATAACGCGAGGAATCCCTTGGATTCTCCAAGTTAACGTCCAAAGGAGGAATGTGAATTCATCAGGATCACTCAGGATTATGAACACAGGCTTAATTACGTCAGGAAGTGAGACTCTGGATGCACACACTGTATTATTTAATTCCAAACAATTTGAACAAAAGAGTCACCTGGAAAAGAGAGTTTTGCCAATTTACAGGATATGTCTGGGGAAGGTGTTATCTTGCATCTCAATTATTGAAGATCCATTGAATCCATAAGGAACAGGGTTGGACATCATGGCCACAGGAAATTAATGCAATCATTCACGTGGTGACTTACAGAGGGAAGTGTTGGGAACCAGCAATTCCCTTTAATCACCTGATGGTCAAAGTGCCAGGAGGGAGAAGAGCTCTCTGGAATGAGCTTTTCCTGTCCCTATCCCAGGCATTTCCCATCCTGATGTGTTAGAAGCAAGGCCAGGACTCCTGTGGCCAGTGAATCATACAAGTGGATTTCCACCAGGTTCAAAGTTAAACCCTTTGCCCCACCTGCACCTCTCTCAAATACCAAGAATTCCTGATAGCTCTTGTCATGGGATATACACATGGATGCAAATGGCAGCTCCCAAATCACAAAAATCATCCTACAGCAGCAAAGGGTGATGGACGCCAGGCAGGAAAAAAGGGATTTCAGATATCCACTGGAAAAATATCGAGGAAAACTGCTCCAAAATATGACTGCTCTTACACTCACGAGTGATTCTGTCTAGGGATAATTTATCCCTGAAGAAAAGCTCTCTGTGTATATGGAATTCCGGAGGGCAGGCAGCAAAATGATCCAGGAAGTGACAGTGGAAACAAGGTCCTTCTTCCAATTCTGGAGGGAGCAGCTGCCTCACCTCTGCATCCACATCAGCAGGACTGACTCTAAGCTCTCCCAGGGTTTCACCTACAGGCATTCCAACGGTGCTGAGCAATGCTTAGCTGTGTGTGGCAGCTATAAAAAGGGAAGCACAAACAGGTGCCGGGGCAGGAACAACCTGTTGGTCGTGTTGTTCCTGCTGCTCTTGGGTCTGTCCCATCAGCGCAGGCCCAGCATCCCCTTTGTGGGATGTGTCTGCAGTAAATGGAGTTATCCAGGCTATTCTTCCCAGAAAGGACTTGAAAAAAGTGCTAAGAAAACTGCCGGACTGAAACGGAGCTCACGGCTCCCCCTCACCTTTTTGAGATACAATCCCATCCAACTTTTCCCAGCAAAGTGTCCTCTAGGCTCTTCCCACACCTTAACCGCTAAAGCTGGTGTTGGTGAGATGAAACCTGAGCTCTCAACAAAGCCAAATCCTCATCTGCTTTGGGGGAACGAAAATGTGTATATATAAAACCCAAACCTAAGGGGCACTTCCAAGACGATTCCACAGAGAAATCCCGAAGCCTTTGGCTGCTCTGCAAAGCCTTTGGTGGATCTGGACTGTCCACGGCCCTTCTGCAGTTGGGTCCAAGAGAGCCTGAGAATTCATGGAGATTGGTCTGATCGACTACTTGGGGTTCCAGGAGGTCTTTCCTTGTGGCAGCAGAGAGGAGGATCCCACTCCCAAGGGCCTGAAGAGCTTTTCATGGTCTTCAGTAGAAGCTGCTTCCCAGCAAGGAAGTCCCTAAGAATTTAGACTGGAGAACTAGTTCTAGGGGATGAATCTCACACCAACTTCCCACTGCTGCTGGGCTGGGAGATGAGAGCATATGGATACATCACAGTGGCCTCTGGTGCAGTTTATTTACAACAGGAATCAGTGCTGGAGAACACCAGGATATTAACAAGCAGGAAACACACTAGGAGGAAAAAAAGAGAGTGGAAGAAAGATCCCATATTAAAATACAAGTATTCTCTGCAGATTCTGCAATACCCTAAATTGAGCTGCAAAGTCCTTTGTCTTCTCCCTCTCTTCCATCAACCTACACTATATTCTTTCACTGGACTTAAACTATGCAGCTCACAGTCCTGCATTCCTACTGTTTCATCCCCAAAGACATGGGATGAAGGGAGAAAAAAGGAAGAGGTCATGCAGCAATAACTCTTTAGCATTGATAGTCCAATGTCATACATTTTGGGGTTTCCAGCTTTTGTTGGGGAATTCTTAACTAAAAGCAGGAAGACTTCTCAGGATCACTTAAGAAACAGGTTGATTGTACCACTCACCTGAAATATGATCCTAAAACACTTTCTGTGAGGTTTGACTAAGACTTTGAGAGTTTTTCCACTCAACCTTATCAGTCACACCCTTCTCTCACTGCTGATCACATAGGCCTAGCTTCCATAGTTCATTTTTATAGGAAAACACACGGGATAAGTATAGAAAGTCTGGAAAGTGAAGCACACAGCTTTATCTGCCTCATCTCATCAATATTTCTTAGCCAAAGAAGTGTGATGGAAGTTGTTTGCAAGGCCTTGATTACTTAAATAAAATATTATTTAAGCTAAATGCCATAAAATTTGTCATTTTCCTTGCCTGGAAGGTTATAAAGTAAGGAATCAGCTTCGCTCCTCCTCTCCAAGGGGGAGAAATTCAGAGGGACATGAGAAATTCAGAGGGAACACACAAACATCAAATGCATTAATGGTTGTGACTCAGAGCTGTTTGTTTACCTGTGGTTTTTAGCATTATGCCAAAATCCCAACCTCCCACCTTGAGAGCCAAACTGGCAGCAGGAGCAGTTCTGCTCAAGGGCAGCACAGCTCCAGCTTCCATGAATCCTTACCACTGGAATCCTCCGATGGGCTCTGTAAACCTGTGACGGATCAGAAATGTTGCAACAGCTTCAGCAACCTGAGGGAAGGGGGGAAAAAAATTGGGGCAGGATTTAAAGGAGCACAAAGAGAACAAGAAATTCAGGCAATTTTCCAAACCTGCAGCATTCCCAACAACAGTTCACATCCTTGGGGGTCTCTTGCTGAGTCAAGTTTGCCCCTTTAAAACAAGAGCTCTGTACAACATGCTTATATATATATACACAAACATATATATACATACATACATATATATATATATATGTAAAATGCTTCCACCTTGACTCTGACACTGATCTCACAATCAAGAACTGACCAAACTTTTTCTCCACCCTTTTCAGTAATTCTTAAAACAAGGTCTGGTAAAACCTCGGGGCAGCCACAGCTTCTCTGGGCAACCTGTGCCAGGGCCTCCTCACCCTCACAGGGAAGCATTTCTTCCCAATATCCCATCAGTATGTTTAGATAAAAATACCTATTTCAGACTGTGAAATGAAACAGAGAAAGGCTGAGTTTTACACTCACAGCTGTCAGAGCTTTAAAACAGACATGTTCCCAACCGCATTCCTGCTTCTGCGTGAACACTAATTCCAGCAGTGCCCAGAAGCAGCGCTGCTCTGTCAGTCTGAAAGCTGTTTCAGGAACATTTGGTTTCCATTTGGAAAATGTGAGCCACTCAATTCAACAAATCACAGACCAACCCCTAAAGCTGCAGCTTGGTGCACGGGATAGTGGGGAACTGTGTGAAGAAAGCCAGGGATGAGAAATCCACACTGGGAAGAATTAGGTACATCCCGAAGCCAGTATGTAACATCTTAGCCCAGGCTTTCCAGCCAGCTTCAAACTCCAAGCTACTTGTGAAAAGCCAGCTGTGGTGCCAAAAAAAATACCCCTGAAGTATAATCTCTGCTCCATGGTAAAGAACAGATCCCGTTTGCATTTAAGCTGGGAAAGACAGAGTAGTTTCAATGCTATGGTGGGGCTCACCTTGTCTGGAGCATCTTCATGGACTGCGTGGCCACACTGTGGGAGGACTTGCATCTGGAACTTCCCTGTGGATCAAGAGTCAGCACATGGATCTCACATTCTTTGCCAAGAAATCTCACCAAATGCATCTGGCAAAGAGGGACCAGGGAAGGCATGGAAGTCTGGGCAAACTGTGCAACACAAACAGGAGATGGGCTCCAAAGAAAACATGAATCAGCTGCATAATTCATGTTCCCCAAGTGTAACTAGAGCTGGTTCTCAGGAGTTAAAATGAAGCTAAACTTCTCAGAGCCTCTCAATGCAACTCCATTCAGAGCTGGAACTGTTACAAATCTACCTTATAGTAGCATTTATCCTGCTATCCAATACTATTTTCCAGTAGTGGTTGCTCTGGAAAGCTGGGATTGGTTAAAAACCCAGCCCAAATCCCAAAACATTAATGAAGATGCTTAATCTTGGTCTGATGTCTGCCAAAAACACCAGGAAATGGGACAATTTTAGATGGTTGCAGGTGTGCTACATAGGAACATCAGGAATGTAGCTAGAAAGGGGGAATAATGGACTAGAACAATGTGATCCAAGAGAAATGTGGGAGTTCCACTGCTGGAACATTGAACACTGGACTGAACAAAAATTCAGCCTCTTCCTCCTCAACTTCCCCACCTCTCCTCGAGCACAGGAGTTAGAGAACACTTTGGGATGGGTTAATTCTTTAATGCACATTTGTCTGGATATAGACTGTACCCATAGCAACAAGCTGTCCTCCAAACACAGCATTACAGTAAGTCTGGAGTAACAATATTAAATATTTACCTTGCATCTGCCCAATGGTCAGATCTTTATCCAGCCTGTCAACACCTACAATCAAACAAACAGATGTATTGGAGAAAAGCCAGAGAGAACACCACTGCATTTTGAGTGAGGCATTAGCTTGGAAAGCACAAAATAAACACGTCTTCTGCCACCCACCACGAGGACATTTCACTGCTGCACCTCGAGAGTGTGAGGTGACAGGGAAGAAACAGCCAAAAAATCCAAGAGCACATCCCTCTCTAAACTTCAAAGGAGATTTATCTTGGTTACACACTTTACTTCCTACTAAGGTACGAAAAGGGCCTATAGCTGTATCTGACTTTCAGTTGAGAGGTTGAAATCACACCACAGTATTTCAAAAGACATGGAAAAGCTGACATGGAAGAGGTAGGTTTGCTATTCCCAGAGAAACACAGCAGCCAAATGTTGACCCTATTCTCTAAAATACAAGTGGGACATCACTGAACACCTCAACAGGACTGGGAGAGACACCTACCAGCTAAAAGCAAGAGCTTTGGAGTGGGACAGCTCAGGAAGAGGTTGGATAAACCCCTGAACCAGCCATCCCAGTACTTCTCTGTTTTAGCCAGTTCAATCCGCCACGTGTATAAATGTTCCTTCTTTGTCTGCAGGGAGGAGAGAGAGCTCTGCATTAGTGATCAGGGAAACAGCAGGAAGAAAATGAACTCAGGGAGCCACTTGGAAGTGCACATATACATAAAAATACTGGCTCCCTCTGGTGGATCACACATGGCCAGGGGATGACCCTCCCTCCTCCAAATTTCTTTCCAAATCACAGTCCAACTACACGAGTAGGGAACAAAAAAGTCAGCAAGACCTACACCAAGAGCAGAAGAGCCTTCAAGACAAGGGTGAGGGACTCAGGAAAATCAATTTGCTATTTTTTTACTAACACAAATAGCTCACAAATTGTTTGCACATTCAGACTTGGAGTTTTCCATTCCTGGAGTTGCTCCTTTTCAAATCAGAATGATTTCAATAATTACTGGTGTCTACTCTTGTAGGGGAAAGTGAAAACATAGCAAGAAACTCCCCACCTCTGTGTCATCTTCTTTCTTCCTTTTGTTGACAGAGCCTCCCCCTTCCTCATCCTCATCCTCTTCCTCCTCCTCCTCTTCAATAATTCCCTCCACTATGGCTTTAGGACAGTCGGGACTGGCAGCCCCTTCACACCTGTGGAAATAAACGCAGAAACTGATTCCTTGTCAAAAGAAAAAACTCCAAACCCAAACACCCAGAATTCAAACTGTTCAGAAATTTCTCAGGTACTGGGTGAAAAAAAAAACCCTCAAATTTAGAAGGAGCTGTGGATGAAAGACTGGGATTGAGTGAATGTGCAGCACATGTATCCCTGGGCAAACAGAAATGCCAACAGCTCCTTAGATGAGGCAGAAGTTGTCAAAAAACCAACTTAAGCTTTTCTTAAGGGAGTGTGAGACATTTGTAAAGGTTTCAGGTATGTCAAGGATTCAAGTGCCACGAGCAGGTTACTCTGATCCATCCCCAAATCCACCTCAGATCACTCCTCAGGTAACACTTATTTCTTAAGGTGTGTAGAAAGGCAGGAAAATCAAGGAACACACAACAGTTAAACTTTCTTAAACACAGTGAATTTTTTTTAAATCTTTGTGGGTTTTGCTCAAAGAAATTTTCCCTTTCACATGCACTCATGTAGCAAATGTTTATTGTAAAACAGACTAGATGACTTTAAGAGCTCTAAAAAAATAAATAAATAAAATAACCCAAAAGCAACCTACTGTTTGACTTGACCGACCATAGAAACTCTGGCAGATTCGAGATTTCTTATTTGTCCACTTTTTACACTAGAAAAAAAAAATAATAGGAGAGAAATATTTACTGAAGAGATTCAGGAACCAGCAGGCCCAGAAACATAAGTAAATTCCCTGCACAGTTCAAGATTTCCTCAAACCATTCCCAAACCCTGTTCTCAGAAGGAATTTGGAGTGGCTTGTGCTAAATGTCAACTTCAACCACCCCCACCCCATTGTCACTGTAACTGTGAAATTAAGATTCATGTGGGAAAAGTGCTGGTGGGGAAACAAGGAAGACAAGTGATTTTAGAGACTAATCCATCCCTTACCTCCACTCAATGGCATTTTCAAGTGACTTGAAAGTTTTGGGACGACTTCTCAGGAAGTTCTGCATGCTGTTCAATGCATCCATGGCTGTTCCTAAAAGCAAGTATTACAGCTTTGTGGCATCTGATGAAATCATTGCCACATCCCTTTATACAGAACTGGCTGCAACACCTTCAGAGAGAGCTGGAGCTCCCAGGGGATTTAATGTTGTTAAGGCAAGTACAGCGTTCCTAAGCCAATGGTCATTAGTGGAAAATCAGTATTTGAAAAGGTAGGACATTCAGATAGTAAGATAAGAAGGAATCATTAATTAGCACCAGGCATTATAGGAAAAGCCACCCTTTTCCCCACTAAAAAGAAAGAATTTCAAAGTAATTAGCAGAAAAAAAGTGAACAAGAGAAAAGGAAAAGGAAGAAGGGAGAAGAAGGGAGGGTCACACAGGAAAGATTTTTGTGCGGGCAGGACTTTTTAGGAGGACAGAAAACTGGGCAAAACTTTCTGTATCCGGGGGATTTGGGGCTAAAGGAAAAAGTAGAAGGGGTAAGCCCACCCAAAGGGGTGGCAGGCCATCTGAGGGAACTCACACTCACCTTCCACGACATCGATCATGCACAGCCCCAGCAGACTCGGCACCAGGTTTGCCACCGCCGTGTGCACCGCGATGGCCCCCCCCATGCTGTGCCCTATCAGCATGATGGGCGGGGGCAGGTCCCCGTACAGAGCTTCCACCACATTCCCAACGTCTCTGCCAGGGGGAGAGCAAACCAGGGTTGGCATCTCCATCTCATTTAGAAGGTACCCATTTAAAAGATACCCGTTTAAAAGAAATTTGAGCAACCCACTCCACTGGAAGGTGTCCCTACCCACGAGGAGATGAGCTTTAAGGTTCCTCCCAACCCAAATTTTGTGATTCCCCAAGGAAATCATTTTAGGTTGACATTTGCTGGTGGGAATGTTAAATAAAAGGCGAGGAAAAAGTTGTCAAAATCTCTTGCGTGGAAGCACAGGGCAAGAAATTCATTGTTCTGAAAGAAGAACTGTTTGGAATTAGAGGGAGGAAATAACCGACCCAACTGACTACGGCAAAGATGAACAACATTGGGCATGAGCAAAAAGACTGACTCTCTACGAGCACAGATATCACAAGGCAAGGGACAATTTCCCCATCTTTTCCATAAGGAACCTTCTTAATCTGAAGCTGTGACTTCTTGACACTTTCCCAGGATGGGAAAGCTGGATGATGTGATCCTCAACCCCCTAAAACAGCAGCAGAGCTAAGGGTTGAAATCTACGGAAGAGCACTGTAGTTTAAAGACATCCCAGTTTCTTTCCTGACTATAACCATTCCAAGGAGCCTGAGCACTGAGCAGTACTGAAAACACAAAAGAAGGGAAAAAATAGGTTGACTGGCTTGTTTGCTCTGCTAGAGAAAACTGCTCGAGGATTTGATTTAAAAGAGTAAGCATAAAGCCAGCACTAATTTAAGACTCCTATTTAAAAGATATTTAGGATTAACTTGCAAGCTCATTGCTAAGAGAAGGGAAAGATTTGAAAACAAAAGGGACTTGTTTTCCCCACACAGTGGTGCTGCTCTGGATCGAAAACATTCTAATTATTTCATCCGGCATGTCCTCAGGACAGTAACACATCAGGGCCTGACAAGGCATAAGCAGCAGGAATAAGGTACACAATGGAAGTCAGAATCCATTTCACACATGGCCTCCCCACAACAAACCAAGTGGATTTGTCCATGGGAAGGTTACAAAATCCTTCGTGATTTAACTGTAGGGGTAGCAAAGAGTCTCTTTGTACTAAACACGGGCAGAGCATAATGTGCTTTACAGTGGGTATTTGCTTTTCTTACAGTTTTGTCAAGAGGGGGATTTGCATACCAAAGCAGGTCGTGGTAGTTGGAAAAAGCAACCCTCTCTATGCTTGAAAAATCTCGGTCTGTGACCCAGACTTTGAGGGTGCCACCAGTCCAAGGTGGGTCCGCTCTGAACACTTGCTCCAGAAGCTGAGGGAGAGCCAAACTGGTGATTTCAGGCTAAAATCTCCCCAGGAATCTCCAAGGAAAGCATTCTCCTACTATTAAAATCTCTCTAGCAAGTGTTGTAGGTTTAAAGCGCTCTCTGATGAGGAGCCACTGAGTGAACTGAGGGAACCCCAAGAATGGCTCCATTTTGGAATCTGACTTCAAACTGTCCCAAAAAGGAAGGAAACTGTCCCAAAAAGGAAGGAAAAGATGGGATAACTACCAGAATCACATTAAATGAAACCTCCCAGCTGTCTGAATGAATGTTTTATATCTTCAAGTAGTTTACTGTTCAAGGAAAGAAAATAAGAGGTTTGTGAAAAGAGAAATGAGCATAAACTTCCTTACTTGGACATAGTCTCTGCAGACAGATCTTCAGGATTCCTAACTTTTGTTTCTCCTAGAAAAGAAAAAAAAAACAAACCCAAGTTAAATGCACTTCAGTTGAAAACCTTCAGGCTCTCTCAGGACTTAGAGCAGGGAGTGTACAAAGCTTTTTGGCACAGAAACTAACAGTGAGTCTACTGTACCGAACATGAATAATTAAGAAACACAGAATTAATAGGAACAGTTATTGCGCTATGGGTTGGAAATACTGCCCATAACTGTGCTGTATTTGCAACGTATCCTAAAATTAAAGAACAGCCCTTATTTCTCATGGTAAAAATCACCTATAGGTCATGGAAAGAGAAAGGAGGGAGCTGGTGGAAGGAACAAATCCACCAGTGCCTTGCACAGAAGTTCAGGGAGTCTCAGCTCCTGGCAGAAGCCACTTTTCCATCCCCGCTTCTGAATAAAAATTGGGATGCCTTAAAATGCTTTCTTAGTCATTTTGGGAGGAATTCACTACATCTTTAAAAAAACAGGGAGCGTAACACACCGATGTGATCCCAGGTTTATTTATCTGACTTACCATGGCCTCGGAGATCCAAAGCCACGATCCTACACTGGATCCTGTTAATGATTGCAGACTGCAAGGAGGCACAGAGAGTGTGGGATTAGTGACATCAAGCACTCCCTAAAAACCCTTCATTGCCAACAAAGTGGTTGAACCCACATTGGACAAGGTGTTAGAGTGAGTAAGCAAGACTGTTCCATAAAATTATCCTTAATAAACCAAAAGCTCCATCCTTGCTACTGCTAACGAGGACATTTATTTCCCTGGGCATCAAACATTATAAACATTCATCAGATCATGAATTCAAGCTCTGCAGCACCTCTGAAAACTAAAACAGCAGTGGGATTATGGACACCAAAGGTATTCCCTCCCTCTCCAAGCTCCAGATGGTACAGAATTAACTCCTGGTTGCATGGCTGACATGAAGATGAAGCAGCTGCTTTGCAGCACATGTTCCATTTGCTCTCAAACAATAGAATTTTACAGGCTGAAATGTATAAAAACTGATTAGTCCAAAGAGGTCAGAGGAAACAAGTGAGGAATTTTTTTTAAGGTAAAGTAGGCTCTATTTGTCCCTGGCAGATCAATTTAACTAAGTTATTTGAGGTATCACAGAGATTAAGTGGCATTCTTTGTTGACAGGAAGACCTCTGTGTTAAGCAATCATTGATTATTTAAATAAAAGCCCTGCAGGAATGAGGAAATTTGCTGAGGAATTCTTAATAGAACCACCCACATAAATGCCAAAAGCTCCCCAACTCTTTTATTTTGATTTTTCAGTTATTCAGCTCCTAAATAGCTGCAGCAGTTGCTCTTCCAAAACCCACTGAATCCAGAAGTCAATTTATTCCAGCCCCTAAAGACACTGCAAACCCACCATCTGCAAGGTGCTGATGCACCATAGCAATAATTTAACAGAGGTCTGCTGCTAAAAATCAGACTATTGTTAGTAGGCAGCAAGGAAAGAGGATCATGGTGTGATGTGAGAAAGTGGAAGGATTTCCAGTGCCCTGAGTTTTATCCAAATCTATCCAGACTCATCACCAAGAAGTTCCCTGCTCAATAAGCAAGAGCAAAGAGGAACACATTGTTCCTGCAGGTTGTTATTTTATTTATAGATGGTTACCCTCAATGCTTCTCAAATTGTGTTGTTTTTATTTTGAAGGAGGGGTTTGGGTTGGTTTTTATAAGCTCTGGTTCATCCCAAACATTTAAAACTTGATTGTTTAGGACAAATTCATTCCAAAATGCACGAAGGACATAATTTTGTAGCAGGTGTTAAAACAAACAAATATTACAGACACCAAAATTACAGCCCAGTTCGAAAAGCATTTTCTGGTATGTCCCATCATATTATAAGATAGTTTCTGGTTGGATCATCAAGATCACTCAACAATCCTGCTGGGAATTTAAGAGCAACGACTCCAGCAAAATGGTCATTCTTGGCAGTCTTTAAGCAGAGATTGAAATGAGGAAGTCACCAACACCTCATTAAATTCCTAAAAGGTATTAAATGGGAACAAAGGCACAAGGAAAACATGGAGGTGTTGCATTTCCATGGAAGTCGTCCTATTATTTGTTAAGGACACCATAGAGCTCAAAGAGTTGCTGGATTGAAAAGGTCCTAAATAAACATCCCACACTGCAAGTGATTTTTACTTTATTTGAAGTCTTTACTTTTCTTCCTTAACTCCATTTTTCAAAGGGAATGGGTGGGATGGAGGAATTCTGGCCTAGTCAGTCCCCACAGCCACTCCTGGTTGGCACCACCTCAGTTTTTGTTCCAGAGAGTTTCAGAGAGCGGTTTGAGTAGCAAATGAGGTTTTTCAGCAGGACCTCAACCACGTAAAGATAATATTGTTATTATCTTTTCTAACATTGTTTTCCTGTGTTTCCCAGAGCTGAATCCACACTCATACAGCTACATTTCCACACACATTTGTTTCTCTCAAGCAGCAGCTTTACTTACAGTAAACACAGCCCAGGACAGGGCAGAGTGGCCTCCACCGTGTAACAGCAGCAGGACAGGCCCCTCCAACCCGCTTTTGTAAATTCGAAAAGTGTATGAACAGTTAAGGGCATTCCAGAGGGTTACTCAGAGTCACTTGGATGTATTTTGGAGCCTGCAATTCCCAACACTGTTTCGTTTCTACCCTTGTGTACTCATTTTCCCCTCTGATCATGTTCAAGCATTACCCAGACAAAACTGAATTTAAGCTTCAGGAGTTGTTTTCCGGCTGCCCAGTTTTTCTCCTCCCTGTAATTCCCACATTTCCCACCCACACCCTTTTCCCCCTGTGCACAAAAGTGAATTGGACAATGGAGAAAAAACCAGAAAGCCACTAAGCTGACACAGGGACTGGAGTCCCTCTGCTCTGGAGTCAGGCTGGGAGAACAGGGGGTGTTCAGCCTGGAGGAGAAAAGGTTCCAGGGAGACCTCAGAATCCCTTCCAGTGCCTAAAGGGGCTCCAAGAGAGCTGGAGAGGGATTTTGGTCAAGGACCTGGAGGAACAGGACAAGGGGGAATGGCTTCTCACTGCCACAGGGCACTGTCAGAGGGGATATTGGGAAGAAATTCTTCCCTGTGATGTTGGGGAGGCCTTGGCACAGGTTGCCAAGAGAAGCTGTGGATGCCCCATCCCTGGAAGTGTTCCAGGTCAGGTTGGACGGGGCTTGGAGCAACCTGGTCTAGTGGGAGGTGTCCCTGCCCATGGCAGGGGGTGGAACTGGATGAGCTTTAAGGTTCCTCCCAGCCCAAATTACTCCAGCAGGTCAGTGGAGCAGAGCACAGGGTACCAACCCACCCATTAATTCAGCTGCTTCCAGAGTTCACATCTGCCCAAAACCTTTCAAATTAAACTGAAGCTTCTCTAAAGGGAGCAGAAAAAATCCCAAACAACTTAAGATTTGCTTAAATTTGGGATGTTTATAGGCACAACCTATCCAAATAGACCTATTATGCTTTTAATCTCATATCGGGGCCTCAGAGGACTGCACATTAAACACAGCCAAGGTGTACATCACGAATCATGGAATCGTCATGGAATCACAGAATGTTTTGGGTTGGAAGGGACCTTACAGCTCACCCAGTTCCATGGGTAGGGACACCTCCCACTAGACCAGGTTGCTCCATGCCCCGTCCAACCTGGCCTGGAATCCTTTCGAGGGTTGGGGCATGAAGAATCCATGGGATCAACTGGACAAATCAGTAATGACAAGCTGAGCAAAACAACAAGGAGAGAGAATTCTCTCATTTCAAAGCATCATATGCTACTGGAATTATAGGAGTAATTACTAAATTGGTATTTGGACAGAAATAGCCTGAAAGGTTGTTTTTCCTAATCGTGGAGAAGAAACAGTTGCAGAAAAAAACCTGGCTGGCATTGCCAGAAGACTCTGATGGCATCACCACCTCGGTCCAAAATTTGGAAGTACTTATCTGTGCTGATGTCGAGGTTGACCTGTTGTCCTGCTAATTGTTAATTAAAAAAAAAAAATTAATAAACAGCTTTGAATCTTATTGGGTTTGAATTATGGGAACCTGCTGAGTGTTTCCCTGCAAAAAACAGTATTGAGCTGTTGGAAATACTCCTTTTAAATGACTGATGACTAAAGAAACAACGGCCTTCCCGGAACAGTTTAAAAGGGACAGTTCTAGCACGGAGCCCTGCAAGGGACATAATGGAGGATGAGAAGAAACACATGAAAAAACTGAAGAGAATCCCAATAAACATGTGATGCCACCCCAGTCTCTGAGATTATGACAAGTGAAATCTGCGAAATAAAAGGATATATCCTTGCCAGTGTCGTTTTCCACCACCACGTCCTCCATAGATTCAAAGTACTGGCTCCAAAGCACTGGTGAAAAATCCCTCTTTCTTCCAGGGCTGCAAGACAGAAAAAAAAAATCCCTGAGAAAGGAGTTATTTTTAAAATCTTCCACTGCAATTGGCATCCAGGCTTCCCTCCATCCACTGAAGAGAACACGTTGGTGTTATGCAACAGTTCAGGACTGGAAGTGAAATTCCCACACAACAATATTAAGAATTTTATGGTCAGTGAGGAAATCCTTCCTTTTTTCCCCTAATTGTTACTGTTGTTGAGGAGAACTCGTGGAAACACAGAGAGAAGAGTATTTTCCTCATCAAATAATTTAGACTACACTAAGCCAAGGGAAAATAAAAGGAGCACGGAATACAGAGATGCCATCCCAGTACAACCTCCCACTTTGCAGGTGCTTCAAAACAGAATCAAAAGTCATTAAATACTTTGTATTTATGACACTTTGCGTTAAATACTTTGTAATTTTGCTCTGGCCTTGAGGCAAACATGACACTGGCATGGTTGGGAGTATTCCAGAGCCTGGAACACAGGAAGCCATCCCAAATTTATGACTCAGTCTGTGAATCATAATTTAAAAAGAAAAGAATATGTTGTTCTCAGAAGTCACCTTGACCCACAGTATTGAAAAGTAGTGTCAGATATTTACTGAAGGTTATTAATTTACCACCTACTACCTAGCACACATTCCTAGAAATCCCCCCTAATTTTTGGAAGAAGTAACATTCAAATAGAAAGTCAACCTGTTTCAAAGGCTGGTGGAAAAACTATGCATAGAATTTAAGAGCACGGTATAAATGAAAATAATTTATAATTTATGAATTACATTTTAAATTTAATTTCTAAATTAATTTTAAAATTTAATTTATAAATTAAAAACACTGCTGGAAGCAGAATAAAAAAAATCCACCCACCAGGTTTAATTTCACAGCAGCAAGTTTTAATTACAGTTAAAGTGTTGCGGAATTTATTGCGACAGTCAAAAATCTGCTATATTTGTAAAGAGTATTTAAAATGGGAGGTAGAGCAACATCAGGAACGTGAAGGGAAGAGAGAAAACAATTAATTAATTTTGTGCTTCTACATCTATCCTGCCTCAGTTAAGGACCATGGGAAAACATCATTATAAAATGGAACAAACACTCCTCAAAATGCTGTTTTCCATGTCCTTAGAGCTCTACAGGCAATTTCCTGGGAATCTGACAATATCCTATCCTAAAAATACTTCATTAGGAAGGATGCTTTCAAGTCTAGCAATGCAGGTAAAACATATTGAGACTATATTTATTAAAATAAAAATTAAATAAATTTTAAAGGGTAGGATTTTTAAAAACTATTTTAAATTAAGGATCATAAGAACAAAACTGTGTAACACAGATGCTGGTAGAGTATTTCCACACCAGGATGGTGGACTTGGAGTGGTGAAAAACTAGGATATCAATGTTGCTACCTGTGGCCCCTTCAAGTCTAGGAATTACCTTTGGTCTTTTCGTATAACCTGGTGTCTTCTCCTACATACTCAGGGAATAATAACTGAACAAAGGCAACAAACACCCCCCTGGTTTTCCCAGGAAAACACTTCCAAACTGTGAATTGCAGTCGTTATTCCCCACCTCCTCTTTGCAATAATTTCTGCTGCAGTTTTTTGGTGGTTACATCACAAAGCACTGCAACAAATTACCCCTTAAAACGAGCTGCTCCTGCAGCACTAATGTCAGGGCGTATCCAGCACTCTATGGAATGCAATCCCCCTAAATTATCACTAGGCCTGTGGACATCCCATAAACCAACTCTCAAAGGTGCCCAGTTGCAAAAAAAAAAAAGCAATTTATTTTTCAAGAGGTGCAGCTGTGCCCTCTCCTTGTATCCCCATTTCCAACAAAAAGCTCCGCAATCAGAATTTTCCTGATGACTCAGTTGATGCAAAATCTGGTTCTCGGGCTGGTATTTACTCAGGAAGGCTAAAAGAGTAGGGCTTAATTTTGGAAGTGGCATAATTAGGCTGCATTCGAGCCCAGGATGAGTAACTGCACCATTTTAACTGTGCTTTTGCACTTCAGCTCATCTGGGGGAAGAAAACAGGCAGCACAGAATATTAAAATCCAGCATGGGCGTGAGGGGTGAAAGACCTTCCCAGCAGAGAAATGCCCGTGGAAGGAAATTTCTCCTGAATTCACGGCTTCCTAAGGAAATAGAACAGAACAGGCAAAGCAGCTTCTGGATTTTGTAGAAATAGAACTCCTATTTCCCCTCGTATTTCTAGAATTTGAAACATAAACCCACTGCTTCCTGAATTCCAGGACCAAATTCCTACTGTGGGTTTCCAGGCTTTCTGTCAAACTTTAGTTAAATAAAATGGGGAGTCACCTACGTAAATCCAGAAAATATTAATCTCTTTTACTGCCTCAGCTTAATCTCATGCTCTGATCAAAAAAAATATATCACATTCAAACCTTAATTTTTCCCCTGGAAGCCATCCCAGCTCTGCTCATGTGCTCTCTCCACACCATTCTGGTTCTTTCTGGAGGTGCAGAGAACTTCTCAAGGCCTGGATGAATTCCCTTCTCCCGTTTTTGAATAGGTAAGAAATAAATTCCACCACCCTTTGAAAATGCAGCATTTCAGCTGCAGCCAAACTTTTCACAGTGTGTTTGTTACAGCTGGATTTCGGTTTGATTTTCCTGAGGAAGTCCAAGTGATAAGGAAATATCATCATGTGGTTACACCCCTTCCAACGTAATCCATAAACCTGGTCAACAGCAGGAACTCCTGGGAACCACCTTTATCGTGATAGCAGAAATTTCAAGGGAATTCTCTTATCCATAGGGGAGGAAGGACATGGGGAAGCTCCTGATTATGCCATGGAAGAGTTCTGGCTGTATGACAAATTACTGAATTTTTCTGGAAGAAGGGTTATAAGATGGACAGCCAGGGAATCCATAAATACGTGGGAGATGCATGAAATCACACAACTCCTCAGTAGCACAAATTTGGGATATTTAGCCTCAAAATTAACGACAATAAAAAGCAAGAAGTGAACTTTTTGCTGCTGCACACCGAGGCCACAAGACCAAGCTGCAATGACACAAAATACCTCACAGATGGCAGCGGGCTCAGGATCTGCCCCAAACAGCAAATCCCAGGGTTTTACCATTCAAACAGATCTTTAAGCACTCGAGGCTGCCATGGGGAATACGAAGCGCAGCACTAACCAAAATCACCAAAACCTGCAGCTGGATCGATAAATTAAGGGCACAACTGGAAGAGGACCTGGAGAAGTACAGAAATAATCCAGACTGGAAAATGGGGCATAGAGTAAGAAGCTTTACAGGGATGGGTAAATTAAATTAACTCAGAAGTTGCTTGGATTGAAGGGGATTTTTTGCTTGTTTTCCCAAACAGATGATTTGAGAGACCCTGAAGAACCTGGTATCAGTCTCAAGCCTCTTAGACTGGCCTGGAGCAGCTCTTTCTCTCAGAAAAAGGTTTCCCAGTTCCTGGGAGCACGGATACACAATCCCTGGACCACAGAACAAACCTGTGAGGCTTCTTCTCCATCCTCCCTGGGAATAGATCCAGCTTTTCAGAGAATTCCAGACTGATTTGGGTTGGGAGGGACCTTAAAGCCCATCCCATTCCAACTCCCTGTTACCCCTACCTTCCATTGGTCCAAACCCTGCCCAACCCGGCCTTGAGCACTTCCAAGGATGAGTATTTTTGTGTCTCCTTCCATTTCTGACAGCAGCGATCCAACACTAAAATTTCCAAGCAGGAGGCAGGCAGATGGTAATACCACAACAAATCCATGGAGAGTAGCTCAGGAATTGCAAGAGGTATCCATGAAACCAAAGCTGAGCCCTTCCCTGGGAACTCGCCCTACTGATGGATTTAGGCAGTTTCAAGTTCACCTTCAACTTCCACAAGAGTTAACACCTCCAGGGAAAACCTTAATAGTTGTGTGACAAACATGGAATATCTGGGGAAAAGATTCAACAAGAATTCCTATGTTTGTTTGCAAGGGAATTGGAGCAGAAAGTGAAGAGGACCCGGGAATTAAAAACTATTGTCACCTCTGATGCAAATACATAATTTAAAACAAAATACCTCCGAGCAATTCTGAAACATAAAATAACCTCCGATTTAACACTGACACCCCTCCCCCCAAAGGGCAGAATAAATGTGGAGTTCTCCACAAAATCCCAAGTGACCACGGGGGGTGGAAAACATTTCTCCTGAGAAAAGAACGAGTATCTTTGATTTTGAATTTATCCAGAGCTGCCTTTTTTTAGCACAACACACACTCAAAATTCAAAATTAGAAGCGCACCCATCGAACAGCTGCTGTGGGTTTGCACCTTCCTATGCTGAAGCAACATTTTGCTGACCAAATGTTTGAACTGACACAACTAATGAGTGCTTTTTAAAGGATCCAGCAAACCAAACCAGAAATGGGTGCCGCAGAATAATTTTTCTGGAACGATCCTTAAACTCTAGCACGTTAAGCTGGAATTACAGAACACACCCCGGGCACCTTCTGCAGCTCTTTTATCCCACTGTGCAGCGCTGGTTTGTACTGAACTGAACCTTGGAAGGATAAACTCAGCCTAAGATAAACTCTATCCCACTTTTTCTTGGCTCCTTTCCATACAAGCCACAAGCCCCTCTGGATGAGGCCATTCCATGTTGGATGTGCAATGGGAATGGAAACCAAAAATACAACTGTGCCACGCAACACAACATTGTTATGGACTACTCCCTGCTGCTTCCAAAGGGAAGAATTCCAGGGGAATTCTTGATCCTTAACCACAACGCCAGGTTTCATATCAGTGCTCTAAGGAAATATTTGAAAGGGAAAAAAGAGGTTTATAGGACAACAGAAAGCAAATTTTCCTTCATAATCCCCTAATGGTGTTTCAAAACCCTCCAAAGTGCAGCAAGACTGGAAGAACTACATAAATTAATATATAATATTGCTACTAATGAGCATAAATATCTCTAAATTGAAAAAAAAAAAAAACACACAGGTATCTATAAAACCATTCGAAAAATCCCTGGAAATGCCCATTAGGAGCTGTTTGTTTACCTGCAATGAGCAAACGAAGCAACAAATATATGGGGGGGATGATTTGTCTGCACCTCATTAAGTCAGTAACTTAAATGCCTTTAGTTTTGTCAGGTTTTCTAACAAAAATTATCACAAGGGTTGGATGGGGTGTTGACAAAGTTAAGAGAGCATGAAACCTGTATAAAGCACACTCAAAAACACACAGAATAGCTGTGAGGGACGAGTTAACAAGAGGAAGAGTTAAAAACTTAATTTCTTCATCTAAACCAGGAAAGCTGTGCTCGGCAGACTTTGCTTGGTGAAGCCTGTTCTGACCAGAGCCAGCAAGATTAAATAATATATTTAACACTGAGTCTAACTTAGTATGTCCACGTAGCCCTCAGCACAGCCCTGTGAAATCCAAGTCTCCCCACAACACAAACTGGGGAATTGGGAGCTTTGTGGCTTGTTTACAGCCCCACATTTCAACACACCATAAGGAAACTCTTAATTCAGGTAACCAAGGGCCACAGGAGAGCAGACAACAGTCCTGAAAGAGAGAGAGTCATTCAAGCTCACTAATTTTCTAATTTCTAGGCATATCACCTAAAGGAACCCTTAAACACACCTGTTTTGCTTAACCTGAAGGCCGTGCCAGTAAACACTCAGGTGAAGCTTCGCTTTAAAATAATTCACATTAAAATAAAGCACTGTTTGATGAAGATTTGGCAGCATTAATTCGTGTCCTAACAACATCAATTGCATTCCATCCATCCAAGTATAATCAATGGATACCCAAAAAATATGGATGGAAATACAAAAATAATGAGATGTGAACCAACCTTTTAAAACTCTGCTTTAAAGGAGAGTAAAATTATCCTCTCCCATCCATAAATACTCCAACAGCTTATTTCCATTTTTCCAATAATTTCCATTATTTCTTTTAGTTGTCTGATTTCCTGCATCAAAGCAGGTTTCCTACGGGAATTGTAGGATATTTTTATCCTCCTAATGGAGCAAGAATCTTGCAGAGGTCCTGAGGTGGAGAGCACCAGAGCACTAACCCCTGGTCTCTGTCACAAGCCAGACCTCAAATTCCATATTCTCACATCCCTGAAAACACATTTTCTCCAGATTTAATAAAACCTCAGTTTTTCTGATTAATTAAGTTAGTCAAAGCCTCCATATTTTAAATCTGCACCATCCCTGCCAGCTTCCTTTGCTTCCCTCTGCACCTGGAACCCCCCTCCCTCCAAACCAACCTGCTGCAAGGTCCTGGTTTTTCTCCTCACACCACAACAAGCTCCTTCCTCACACCTTTGGAGGCAGAATCAGGAAATTCCCTTTAGGAGTATCCCGTTTGCATTTTCCCTCTCTGACTCAGGGAATAAGGGTTGTTCTTGCCCATTCTATCCTTTCTATTTGCCATCTACGTCCTTAAGTCAAACTTCTCCCACAGCTCCCAGAATGTGCTCTCAACTCATGCTCGAAATATTTAAGAGTATGCCCGATTTTCCATCACCTGGAGCAGGGATTTAAGTCCCTAGGCAGAGCTCACCTACTTCACAGGGATACCTGCTGCTGAGAAATCCCATCTCATAGAATCACAGAACACCCTGAGTTGGAAAAAGGGACCCACCATAAGGATCATCAAAGTCCAACTCCGATTTAAGAACCCAATTCCCAAAAATTCTAACACACTTCTCTCCCCCAGCCACACTCTGAGGTACCAGCTGGGCAAGGTTCTCGGCCCTCCCTCCCAAAACTGATGGCAAAATGATTCGAAGGAAAGGCCTGGAGAGCAATCCCGAGAGGTGTCAGCTCTGAGGATACTCCAGGCAGGGCCACCTTAGCCCGTTGTGGCTGGAGAAGCCTGATCCAGGTGCTGCTCGCCCTGGAGCACTGGGAAGCAGGGCCATCCCTCCCTCCAGATCCCCAGTATGAGCCCCCTCTGCCTCCAGACCCCCCCAAAAGGACCATCCCTCCCTCTAGACCCAGAATGAGGAGCCCTTCTTCCAGATGCCCAAATAACAACGACCCCTCCCTCCAAAAAATGGGCACTCCTCCCAATACGACCACCCCTCCCACGAGACCCCCAAAACGAAGCACCCTTCCCTCCAGACCCCCCAATCCGCCCCTCCAGACCCTGCAAGTACGAGCCCCCCTCCCTCCAAACTCCCACAATAACGAGCCTCCGTCCTTCCAGATCACCCAAAAATGATCCTACTTCCCTCCAGACCC